TTGACTAAGCCTGAAAGAAATTGCCTGCTGCTATATGCATTTGCTACAGCATATCTGTAATACAGATAAGGCGTTTAATTGCCTTTGTTTTACACTATTAAAGTTGCATTGTCTCCAAACGAAAGCAGGAACATTAAAACCTCGTGGGTAATCCGCGGGTTAATTCGAACCTCAGATTGTGGAAACAGTAAAAAGGTAATTCCGAAATTAAAACATAACCATTAAAATGACCGATAAAAATGGAAATCGTCATTAATAATAGCGCCATAACCATAACAGCGAACGGTTATAAATATTCCCGAATGTCAGAACCCATTTAAACAGGATCAGGGTTAATTCTTTTTAGGTAAAAGAATCAGGTGAACGAATAGGGGATTTAGTTGATTTAATCGAAAATACTTTAGATAGAGATTACAGATTGTCGAGATTTTACTGGTGATTAAATTAATTAGATTTATTTTATACCTAACGTACCTTTACAGAGTAATAAATCCATGAAATTTTGATAACACTTGAAATAGAAATTATCGAACTTTCCAAATCGCGAATTATTTAGGGGGAAGCGCAGGGCAACATAATCGATTCCATACTATTTTATTGTATGACACAAATCCTTTATCCCTTTGCTATAATACTACGCTCCAAATATGAAAACCCGTGCGTGAAAAGGTCAGAAATTTACATTTAAAATTTGATGGAACCTATTCTGTTAAAACCAACAGCAGCGCTTCGGCATCTGTATGGCATATACTTAAATGCCTTAAGTCAAATCTGATAAATAAATACATTTGCTATTTTCGTATCTAAACGGTGATGTTAAAGAAAATGTCTAAATAATATGAGAGGCTTCACTCCAGCTTTGATTACTATGTCTGGTCTCAAAGACGATGAGGGTGCAGAATGAAAAGGGCCGATTTAAAATTAAACTTTGAACAAATTGGACTCAATCATCACTGCTAAAGGAAAATATACATTTAAATCTTCTTAGTGCGCCTCCAACCATTCTGTCGCTAAGTAAAAACCTTAAATTATTCATCAAAGGAATCGGTATAGTCTGGCTGACTATCGATTTTTGTTATTATAGTAAAGTTGTAATAACGTTTGCCACTCTTTGAAAGGGCGCCCATCGAATATTTATGTTTCAACTTTAAAGGAAACCGATGGCTTTTATGTTTTATTATTGCAATTATATTCTTATATTTTAATATTTATTATATTCTTATATTCTAATGCCGTTCTGTGGGATTACGTGTGCACAAAGGACGTTATTTAACATAGACCCTTATTTTTTATTTAAATGTATTCCCAGATTTTTCGTTTTTTATAATTTTATTAGCTTTAGAACTGTTTTCATCCGTAACAGGTAAATATTTAAATGTTACGTATTTACGTATTGCAGATTGGAAAACTTTAATCACGACACAACAGGCTTTTTAGATCTCAATTTAATATTGAAGTTCTAAAACACGCATTTGTCCGGCTAAATAAAATTGTATAGATAAGCAAATTGACATAAACAACGCGTGAAATCAGCTAGAAAAGCTAAGAATTGGATTTCGCAAATAGGATGTTGTTATCGGTTCCAGAGCAAAAGTATTGGGAAAGTTAATTTAACAATTTGCCGAAGTTCGAAACTCAAGCTGAACATCAGTTTCATGAAATTAATACATTCGAAATATTGCAGTGTCCAAATTGAAACGACAAATTTAATTATTGAAATCACTTAAAATTAAAGGCTAAAATCCATTTTTACTGTGGAGTATAACGCGTGTGAGGTAAAAGTTCCTGAAAGAAAACTTGATGTATTGCTCCAATTTGTACAAAAGTCGTAGTAATAAGTAATAAAATCTAAGATAGATGCAGAAGATTAATAAGAAAATACAATTGTTCAAGTCTTAATTCTAAGAAAAACAAAAGCAAATTAATTCAGGAAAAAACATTAATTTAGATTTTTTTTTTCTTTTTATATTTCTCAAAAAATACTATTTAGCACAATTAAAACGGTGAGAAAAACAACGAACAGTAACAACAGTTATTTCATAGAACCTGTTAATCGTTAGACTGCGTAATATGGAATTGCTACTTTCCCGAAAGTTTACTTTTACTTCCTACCTTTTCTGTAGAATTAGAACGTAAGAGTAAACGAAAAAAATATCGGTAGTTATTCAGGACTAGGACAACGTAAAATTATTGTATACTGAGCTTTAGGAATTTGATTTTAAAATCCATATAACAATTTAATAGCAGTCAAAAAGTTTACGCGAGGCTGCAGGTACAACTTAGATCGAGAGATCATGATCACGAAAGTTCAGAGAAGCTTCAATTATACATTAAAGCTTCAGGTTAACTTCGACAAAAAAATATGTTTTTTTATTATGTCCAACACGACATTTCTTGAAACCTTTCGCACCTATTATGCATATACATATAACTTGAATGATTGGATTTTAAATGGCAATTTCAAAACACCTTTTTTGAATAAGCCCACTTTCGACTTAGACACAAAAAGATATGATAGTTATTCAAGAAAATATTGCATCGAGCCAATAAACCCATTTATCAAATGGACCCTTAAAAGCCTTTCAAAACCGGCAGCCTGGACAGCATTCTTTACTTTACCAGGTAGATTAAAAGTTGGCTTTACAAATTTTTCCACCAAAAATATGTAGTGGTATCTTTGTGGCGGATTGATTTAATTTGGAATGAAGAAGGCATTGCATGTGATGACTGGCAATTTTCTATAGGGTTTAACGGAACAATTATTGGGAAATTTCAGTATGCCGGTTCATATAATAGAGACTCAAAGGAAAGAAATTTGAAGTGAATGAGTTAAAGCAAATACATATTTAGTTTGCTCAGTTGCGATCTTTATGTTGCATGCAATAATTGTTATTCTACCAAAAAAGGGATTTTTAAGCGATTTCAAATTAATACAGTGCATATTTCAGTATGGAACATTTTCCCTTTAAAGTCTTTTAATAAGCGAAAACAATTCACGCAATAGAACAAAGAATCTTCACAGAGAACATTCACAATTAACTAAAAAGAAGTTTTTAACTTGTTTTAAGATGTAAAGATAAAAACTAGCGCAGAAAAAAATATTTTTGCTGCTTGCTGTTTCACCAAAATAGAATTTAAAAACAATTTTTAATTAATATAACGGGTATTTCATTGCAGAACATTTTCTCATTTAAACTATTTTAATAAGCAAAAGCCACTCATACAATTAATGAAAAAAAAAAAAAATTGTACAAAGGAAGTTTTCACTTGCTTAGTACAGAATCTTTGAAATTCTACTTGAAATTTATTTCAAGACTAAAACTAGCCAACAAAAAAATGCGATTTGCTGCTTTTGTATTATTCAATGGCTTGTCCTCGAGTTACTCGTATTACAATACCGCAATAAAAAAAGTTGGTTTAATTCCAAACACCTTCGAAATTAGGCATACATACAGGCGTAGTACTGTTAAACAGACATCTGATTTAAATGGTGAAAAACCAACACATTTTGCTCCCAACGTGATTGAGCGGAAAACCGCTCGTGGCGTAAATTCAAAAAAAGTTTTCGGTCTTTTATTGTTGAGAATTTAAAAAATAGTATTAAATCTGTATGGTGCTAGGCAAATACAAAACTTGAAAGTGAGTCTATTTTAATTAATGTAATTTTATTGCTGCAGAGGAATTTACTATAACTTAAAAGCTTTAGCTTAATAGTGATTTCGAAAGTATAAATCCAATAGCAATAAAACGACATAAAGCCAGAAATAATACTAATCAAAACCCATTAAATAAGAGATTAAAAATAAAAAGCGAATTATATGAAACCTATTATTATAAGGCGTGGTTTAACATGTCGGATATAGTGTGAGGTCATCGGTCGAGGTTTGTTAACGGGAAGTTGAATGTTCTTTCTCTGAAGTCATTTGGCTAAGGCTATTTACTGGCGGAAAGTAGCCGTGCCTAAAGAACATAAAAAAGTGCCATAAAGCCTGCACCAAATTCTCGCATGTATCGAAAAAAATGTTCTTACTCCATCACAACAAAAGTTTTTTCCGTGTTCTTTGCCTCTATTCAAATTAGTTGGACAAATTGGATTAGGCATGGCTGCAGATTAGTACACGCAATTAGGCAGGAAAACGGATCTATTTTTTCCTAGTTTTGTGTCACCATTAATGTTTTTCACATATATGCAACATAACAACTCAATTGTATAGCGAAGTAGGAAATTAGTGCTTCATGGTGGCAATAGATTCGTTAAACTCTCAAATATTAAACGGTTGTTCGGCTTAAGTGATGGATTTGTCTAATTAGTTGCAAGTATCACGATTCAAGACTAAATATAATAGATCAAATAAATAAATAATTAATAAAAAATAATAGACATAATTCAATAAGAAATAAGAAATAATTCAAGAATAAATAAGATCAGACAAGAGTCTGATCTTATTTATTGCAGGAAAATATGGATTGTAGTGGGCTCAAATCAACTAAGTATAATCAGGGTTCTTGTATGGACGCATTTCAGTCATCTGTTTTTTTTTTCAACTATTTTCAGTAGAGTAAAGCATTGAATCCGAGTTTGAAAAAACAGAATTATTTCTGGCAAAGAATGCATTTTCAATGAGCAATTATGAATTTAGTATTATTGATAAATATTTCATATTTCAGTCAAATTGGTTGGTTTGAACAATTACTTTCGCCTTTCTCTTTAAGTATGATTAGGCGAATACATGTCCTTTCTCAAGAGAATGTAGATTTTAATAAGCTTCGCTGATAAAACAATAGACATATTGTCAAGATGCTTTGTGAGCTACTACTTATTCTAAAAGTACAAAAGCTCAGTTCATCAGGTAAGCTGAAAAGCTAAACACGTTTCAGTCATTTCGATTTTAATAGTTGCTTTTATACCTTGTATGGAAATGACGAAATAGAGAGTTGGAAATAGAAGTAAAATTCTGGACAGATTAAATTTTTAGTGGTAGTGAGTAGCTCAGCCTTACCTGGTAAGAACTCCAATCCACCGGGTTGAGGCGTAAACGGCCTGAATGTTATTGTGAAATACATAAGCTTGTAGGGTTTATCGCAAACCGCAATAATTCTGGGGTTGGGATTCGTTATCCTACACGTTTCATATTCGTCTTTCGACACGTTGTATATGATGTATTTTTCCATTTCGTCGTCCCGTGTTCCAGGGGTATACACGGGGCAAATCAGGTTCACCTGAAAGTAAAAACAAAAAAACATTATTACATTAAATTCACAAATCCCTTGATTGCAAATATATAATTGACTTAGTTGTTAAAGCGTACCCGGTAGATAATATATCAATCTTGCTTATGCAAAATTAAAGTTGATGTTGAAGAACTGAACTCATCAAATTTTCTCGCAATATTGATAAAACATTTTCTGATTTAAACGTAAAGGATATCAGTAGTTGATCTGCTCAAGGGACAAATGATAATCTTAGCTGTTTTCATGGGAATTATCGAAAATTTTGTCCGATTTGAGCAGAAAACCAGCAGGAATCGTATCAAGAAGCTTTCAACGTGAAATATTAACGAAATCATTTCTGATCTGCTGATGATGTAAAAATGTCGATGTTATTTATCTCATTACTTTAAGTAAATATTATGTTACTTTTCTACAGGTCAGATTCGTTAATTACTTGACCTATCATCCAATGTAATTTATTTTATATTTGACATTAATATCTGCTCTACCTAACCCGACTGACACTGTTCTCATATAGGTAACTCATTTATCACCACGTAGGTAATTAACCATTAGAGTAAATTCTTTAACGAGAAATATGCGACCTTTAATAGTGCACACTAACCTGAATAAAATCGGCACAAAAATCGCCCGGTCAACAATGATTGAATATCGTTGCTTTATTCATGTAGGTCGCCCAAATTGATTGAAAAAACCCCAGTCCCAAACAATCACTAATAAAATTCAAACGAATAATCTAATCTGTGGAAATAGCAGCAATCCGGATTGCCACCATTAATTATGTTTTGACGGCGGTACCCACGAAAAAAATTGGGAAAAAACAACGGCAATCAATCATTTTTTACAAGGTACAACTTTCGACCGACTTATTATTGTAGGTTCGGTGTGGAAAAATGGGTGTAGCTATGCATGTAATTATGAGAAAAATGGATTACTACTATCTAATTGGGTGAGACTCAAAAAAAATGGGTGCAAAGTATTAAAAACACCTACTACATGTTGAGCAAAGCAAGGAAAGATGGGATTGAGAGATGAAAGGAAGTGAAAAACTCAAAAGATTGAGAATTTTTTTAGCCGTTTGAACTGTTGTGATTTAATTGCAATATGCGTCTTCTAGCTTTAATTATCATTACAAATTTCCATAAAACTTTCTGGTAACTTGTATTCCGCGACTTTTCAAATGATTTCTAATGGTACTGTATTCTTGGCAAAATGTACTCGTTCTCCCATCAAAACGACCATTAATATTATTGAATAGGGACATTCCTCGGGATCAATTCCGAAACCATTAATTATAATATCGTTAAATCAGGTCTAACGTTTTCATCTAAAATTCTTCGACTCTATCACTTAATACATTTGATTTGAATATTCTATCCATGTTTACACGTCAGCAATATCAATAACTTCATCCGCGTCGATAAATCATCTGAGCAGTATCAAATTTCATATCAGGGCCTCGAGATACAAATATAAAAGTTTTATTAATCGGCTTTTAATGTAAATAATGCGTAGCGCGTACGATACATTAATTAAATGACGACAATACCTGTGGCCCACACACAAAGACATCAGTGTCACTTATTCGGCTATTCTATTATTATTCTAGTCGACCAGCTACATTATTCTACGATTTATCGTGAATTGCATACTGTTAGAATCATGCACACAATGGTTATTATAAACTCTTGTCCGATAAATCTTCTGTTCCTGGTTTACCGACCAACAGTCTGGCACTTTGTAGCGCTATTAGGAATTAATGTTTTCAACAAACATTGGCAAAATTTTGGTGGCAAAAAAACGAACAAAGCGCGGCGATTCTTTGAATAACAAATTCTTAACATAACATTTTCTTAATGAATTGGTTAGAAACACTCTTAAATACAAGGACCGTTTTATATTATTAAGACAAATTTATGCGAAAGTAAAGTAAATGAATTTTCCGACTATTGATTCATGAAAGTGTAGAAATAAACGGATACCTACCGAACTGATACTTTTTATGCATATTGGGGAGCTTCAACATTAGGCCAAAATTTCATGTTTTTCGATTCTTTTGCTCATTTCTCAGAAACAGATTGACCAAAAATGTTTTCTTCAATGTAGTCAGCTGATACAAAAATAAGAGAAATACCGATTTTCTTATAAGGCGTGGTTAAGTAACAGTGATTGCATCCAGCAGAACGCTTTGTTGAATTTAATGGTGAAAATTTGATGCAAATGTAAAATTTCTCATTTGAATTAAGTTTCTTGAAAAGACAGTCAGTCTGTTTAAGACAGGGTAAATTTTTTTGTCATCTTCGTCTCCACGAGAATAGAAAGGTAAAGTAATCTATCTTGACGAGCAAGAATACATTGGGCAAGTACTAAAAATTATTTTTTCTTTTCCAAAAATTTAACAACGATAACTTAATCAGTAGGAAAAAGTAGAACCTAAAAAAATATATCTAGCAAGTAATTTCCTTCGCATTTGTTCTTGTCCTAATTATGTCTAAGCATAATTATACAGAAATGTTCTATATCTTCGATGCAACACAATTCAAGTAAACATCAGTAATAAATCGATCATTCTACAATTTGCCTGCCTATCCTTCCATGAACAGTTCAAAAAAGACCTAAATAGCAAATAAATTCTAAGAACAATTGAATTAACCATCCGAAGAAGCCAGTGGTGGATGTGTTGGCAAAGAAATCGACGACGGAAAGGAAAGATTAACAACAAAATTATATCCTATTGTAAAGCGAATCGTTTTCATCGTTGGTGGCGGCGATAAATATGTATAATGTATTAAAATGATTAGGTATCGTTGCTGCCAACTTGTGTCCGCCAACCGGAGTCCACATACATTATGAACAACCCGCTTCCTTCCTCTTTTCCGAGCCATCAAGTGTCAATTTTAATATAAAAGTAGAAAGGGATAGATATGAATAAATTAAGTTGTCTCGGGTCGCGAGGACGAACACTCTCTTTGTAATTTATTCAGGACATTTTCGAGTTTTGGCGCAGCTGTCACAGTTCCGGATATGTATAATGTGATGAATAATATATCAAGGCTATAAATGGAAGTTTGTGATTTTTTTCACTTAGCCAGTGAGTGAGTGATAAATTGCAGAATCCAATTAGATAAATTTTAACTGACGGACAACAGACAACTGATCTAACGTGAGTGCTTAAGTAAAATGGCATTTGCTATTAAAAATAAGAAATATAATAGTTTTACGTACCTGATCGTATTCGAATTTTAAATTATCCCTATTTACATCTATTATATTATCTGTGTTGTCGATCCTAAAGATTGGATTGGACGAGTTCCAATGTATCGTGTAGAAATGGGCACTAGAAGGTGCTGCTGTCGCCAGCACGAATGCTTGAAGACTGAAGAGAATAACAACCACCGTCCTGAAAAAAAATATATTAAAATTAATAAAGAATTAGACATTTAAAAAATTGCTTGCATATTCATAGAATGTACATCCGTGTTAAGCTGCACCAGTAAACACCATTAACGACATGCCTAATTTTTCATTCATATTCAATTAATCCGAACAGAGACAGAGACAATAAAACAGCACCTAATCGATCAGTTAATTTATCCAATTTGGACACACAATTTGATCATGAAATGTACTCGGACGTTTCGATAATTTTTTGAAAACGACTGAACGATGGGATTACGCATCGGTCTACACTGAAAATGACAAAACAAACTGAAATAATCGGACTGCTAGCCCATATTACATGAAGATAATTGAGAAAATTATCCCGATACATATTCATTTGTTCAGCTTTAAACAAACACTAACTGGCATTAATTGATTTATTAGATATTGATTGACGTTTCACGAACTAATTATATGCATTTTATTTAATTAATTATTATACAATAATAATTAATATTTGTTCTAGGAAACATGTTTTCCGAAGCCATATAAATGCCAGTCAGACTAGATCAGAGACATAAACTGGTAAGTCAATAGTTGTTAAAACGGATATTTTGAAATTGTTTGCCTCTTTCCTCTGGCAATTTTATTGAAGCGTTGAAATTAAACTGACCCAAACTAACAAAATAACTTGCAAGAAAATAAAATCTGATCTTCCTTTTTATTTTAAAGCGTCCCAGAGTAAAGTTACATTTTCAATAACCTTATTATTGAAGGCATAAAATATCGACAATTTTAAGTGAGTTTACAGTACTTACAACAACCAACAGCAAATAACTCTATGAAGATTTACACTAAACCAACACCGAGTTAATTCGAGACCGCCACTTTTGGAATTTGATGAATCGTTATATTCTGCGTCTGAAAGAATACTAACGAAAAAAAAAATCTTACCTGAGGACGTTGGTACAGCTAAAACCTGGAGGCCAGAGCCCCATATTGGGATCCTGCAGTGGGGCAGAATCTGCAGTGCCACCAAGCGGTGGCCGCTTTGCGTTCAACGGGTCCGGCCAGCCCTTACCGATGGCCTGAAAAAAATACACAGTCAAAAAAATCCTAATAAGCAAAGTAAAAACGCAAAAAAAACAACAATTAGCCATCCGGAACAGTGCTAGAACTAAAAGAAAGTAAGCCTGAAGAGGCCAACCCAAGAATTGGAACCGAAGAAACGTTTAAAATCAATAAGTCAGTAGGATGTTGATTTGATTCAAAGGAATGGAAAGTGGCATATGCATTCAATAGTTGGAATCGTCCTTTGAAGCTGATAATTTGATGAGAATATAAACTGATGGGTGGATAGGGAGCAATCGTATTTTTGCAGGTTTTTAATTAAAAAATTGCTGTTTTTCTAGTGCTCCTTACAATATCAGCATTCAAGAATCGTTGAAGGGGCATTTCTTGAAGTATTTTGTCGGACTTTTTCAATCACAAAAAGTGCATGCATTTTTGTGATAGTGAATCTTGTTTGTGGTGTTTACATGCATCCTTTCTCCTACTTTCCTACATGAGAAACGCTCGGAGTTCACGGTGTTTCTTAGATGCAAACTGATCCTTCGGAGAGCTTAAAAGGTACCGAAGCTCAACAACTGATCGTTAAAATAGTATAAAAGGCATTACCCAATCATAAGCAACGATTACGAATTTGTTTCAAATTGCAGGAAAATCTATTAAAATATAACACAAATGAAACCAATACTCAACCAAATTCTTACCGAAAAATATAATGGCATCAGAAACCAAACATTGGTTTGGATTAAATTAAAACAAAAAAACATTTTTCTATTCAAGTTTTAATAGAAATGAACCCGTGGGATATTTTGTCTTTCAAAAATAATACAGTGATCCATTTGCTGCAACATTTAATCAACATCATCGAATAAAGCGACGCTTGTCTGCAAGCATGTAACATAATTTTTCATTGTACGTTGACAAATCGACAAACTACAGTGAACGAAATGTATTTCGCCAAATGACCCTGTAAACATGAAAGTTTTTCATACGCTTTTCTGCGCTGCATCCGAAGAGAAATTGAGCGCGTCCAGGCAAATGCAAAAAATGACTTCAAGTCAGAACGGAAATCACTCTCGGGGCTCCGGGTTCTGGAAGAGGGCGTGTTTTTGGGGGTAGTTTTTCGAGCGGCAAAGCTGTATCGCCGTATCGAACAAAAACGATTAGAGAAAGTGTTAATAATTTGTTCCCTTTTAGCTGCTGGACATGGCTTTTTAGCTAACTGGATTTGTCAGTTATAGGGGATTAAGTTTAATTTAGCGAAGAGTTTAATAACTCAGAAATAGTAACTGCATCAACGTGAATTGTTTAGCCAAGCCAGATGGTCCAGCGTTTTAAGCTTAATTATCTCGGGAAAACTTTTAGTCACACAACTGTTGTGATCATTATTTTAACAATGGGGTCTTACTGTTTAAGATCACTTAGCAGGATTAGTTTAGCTTTTTCTTTCGGGCACTTGTTCAATTTTCACGTGCCAATAAGCAGGTGCAGCTACATACAAGAATTACGCCAGAAAATTGATAAAACGTGAATTGTTAAAAGTCGAATTGAGCTGAAACTAACGGAACTAACTGTTGCGAAATGACTTTCATTTTATAGAGCATAAACAAACATTGCAGGTAAATCTGCTGCACTTTTACAACATCCATTTTAGGATGGATCTGTTGGAGCGAAAAGAGAGCCAACAGTTGTCGGTGCCAGCCTACTGAATAAAAAAAAACTGGTGGTTATGAAGTTGACCGTATCTCCAGCGTTTGCAATAGCAAACGCAGTTCTCAAAACAAAACGACTAAAGCAAACAGTAATAATTCTCGATTTTGCGAGTCCCGCACCGCTTTGAAATAGCCCCCTTGGGGGCGCGTAAACCAACCCCGGATGATTAATCCGCGTTATTAAACGCAAGCAAAACTAAACCCGAAAAATCTCATCTGTTTTAAAATGACCGTCCTATTACCTTAATAGGGCCAATGTAAAAACTATTTGGAAAGACACATTAGCTGCTGACGAAGATTAATCGCCATTTGTTTTGTTCTTCGTTCTGTTTTTAAAGGCTTTAAAATTGAGATCCGGAGGTCTGCACTTAACGCCGAATATTTATCTCTTTGAAAATTAACAGCGGATAAATATGATTTATTTCGAAACGATTCGCGTGCTATATTTTTCGTAGAGTGAGCGTCGTAAAAAGTGAACCGAAAATGGCTCTTATCCGGTGAAGAAATTTGTAATTTATCAAATCGAATGGCTGTTTACAACTTGGCGCTTTTGTCACCGGTAACATGCGAATTTCTCATGACTGGATAAGTGCTTGTGCCATTTAGATTTAGAAAAGATGTGGCAATAACCCGAAGATGGGGAAATAAAAATGCCATGCAGTTACATCTTTATAATGACGATCAACGAATTCTACATTTGACATGTGTTTATTCCAAAAAAATCGGAAAAATGTAAAAAGTGATGCTTTAGGGTTTGAAATATCGATGTGAGGTGAACTACTGAAACATCAATACATGAGGCCGTGAAGTTTGACGAAAATGAGAAGAATGATGAGAAGGACGAAGGTTCAAAGTCAAGGATACGAGAACGAATCGAAAGATTATTACCATTAGAAAATCGCGAATTAAAACCGATTTTTCAACTTTACACCTGATAGTACAACAATGTGAGGAAGATTCAAAAATATTCGCGGAGCAGCTGAAATGAAGAAGCTAAAAAGGAACTGAAGACACAAGATTGTTTATCTTTTACGGAAGCAAATGAAACTGCTGCGAAATTATGTGGATTAAACAGATTCTAATAACGAAGATACCAATATGCACAATTGAATTAAATATAAAATTATTAGCACCAAATACAATTTAGGTAATGAAAAGATGGAAGAATTATTGCAGCTCACAATAAACGAAAGGTGATTGTCTGAACCAATAAATAAACTAATGAAAAATGGATTACAAAAAACAACAGAAAACGTACCGGGTGGTTTGTAGCGGCAAAAGGAAGGAATTGATCGAACTCACTAAAACATATAGAAAAGTAGATGCTAACATATAGATGTTAGAAAATGGATTTGTTTCACTGCTCGTTTTTGAGATCATATAATAAACCTCCAACTTTGAACGTAGATAGTGCCATAAAAATAATAAATTAAATAAGTTAGAATAAAAATCAACATTAATCAATAGGCAACAACGTACGAGCATTAAAATAATGGTAAGGATGGCAATGTGGTTATAACTAAATAGGCATTTAATTAGACCTCAATGTTCAAGTTTCGTAATTTTAATAACGCATTAAATGTACTGTGTGCCATTAACAGTATTTCTTATTTTAATTGCAGTATGCGCCTAAGATCTGGTAGCGTTTTAATATTTGCAAGTACTATCGCCTCTTGCCTTATAACGATTATAAATTGAATCATCCTGCGTATGTTATAAAACGAAAGACCATACACCTCGTCCACCCAACAGCAAGCTCTCTCAAGTGCGTATAGTGTTACTTTCCAAGACAGTTCAATTTTCTTATTCAAACTAATAAACTCAGAGATAAATTCCTCATCTGAAAACCTTGTTATTCCTGTAATGATAAACATTGGGTCAGTATTTTGAGGTTTCTTTAATTTTATATTAGTTCTATTTTCCAGTGCCTGTTTAAGTTTATCTGGCTGAGTTATGCAATTTTCTACAACTATCGCTCCACTGCCCTATGCCTGTATGCCCAATGTTTCTGAAAATTCCTTCAGTATCTTTGGTTTCGACCTAACTTTTAAGTTGGCGAACTGTTTCTGTAGAATTTAGGATTTGATCTATGCTAATTACTGTTTCCGGACATTTCCATTCCTCTATCAACTGTTACGGGCTAATTTTTGGTTTGTTTGTCTTCTTCCAGCCGTCCAATAATTATGAATTAATAGAGAGAATGATTTATATATTGAATTTATTGATACTCCACTGTTTCTTCCTGTGAATCGTTATTATGCATACTTATTTTGGTAAGTACATTTTTTTGTATGTTGTCTAAGCAAGGAGAAACTTGCATTATAATTCTTAGATCTTGGACTTTTGATTGATTATTCATTTCGTTCACTGATATCATTAATTGCCATGTTAAGCGGTGGAGCTCTTGCAACCGATTTTTGCCTCCTCTATCGAATTTATGATTTCTAGTAGTTTGATGCTGCTAAATGTCCACATCGGTGTTAAACTTATATCACAAATTCCAAATATTTTATTTATTTCTGTCCTTGATATTTTCAATGCTTCAAGAGATAAATTTCCGGTTTTTTACCAGTAAACCATTTGGTTCTTTGGCCACCAATCTATAGAAACAGTATCAAACTTACAATTTAATACATTTCGTTGGATCAACTAAAATGTGAAAGTTTTAGTGGTTATTTATTTAGTTATAAGTCGCAACTTTTGCAAATAAATTCGTCCTGATTGAGGCGGAAAACTCCATAGAAGAATCGAATAACTATTATCAAAGATAAGCAATCGCAAAGAGTAAGTCTCTAGAAAACATTTTCTTATCCACACACAAAATCTACTAAAAAGACAAAAAGTGAGTGAAAGCAAACCAGTTTAACTTCAGAAGTAAACTTACTAGACTGACAACATAGAAAGAATACAGACATACAGAAAGGATACATAGGTACATACACGGTCTCAGGACCGCGATAGATCTTATACGGAGGAAACCAAGAATTTACCAAATAACTCTTCGAGAATAGTAATGAAAATTATATTCGCAAAGATAAGGATTGAGAAAAAAGGTCGCGTTCCCAAACAGTAACCGCATCAAAGAGAGTAAAAATAAAATTGAGATATACCCAAGCTGGTAGTATTAAGATCCTGTTAGAAGGGGAGAATTGGCAAATGTCATACGGACCATGTAGGGACCACGAGAGATAAAATACGGTCTCTAACACCTTGATTACGGGTCACAAATCATTAAAACGTCCCTCGTTATATTATCGGCAACGCGGCAATAAATAGCGATACTTCTGACAGAACATTGGGTTCATATT